ATGTTACACACTGGAGCTCTGAAGATGCATTGCTTTACATTAGTAAATCCAGCACAAATGCACTTTAACCCTAAGATGCAATGTTTTAAAACAATTTTTAAATATTTTTTCTGTTTTACATAATTGTGATTCTTAGGAACCTGTTTTATTCATTGCACAACTTCATTGATAAATGTTCAAGTAATCATCTTTTCCCACCTCAGACTAAACGTACCAAAGCTGTAACAACATATGCCCCTAACATTTAGTTTACAGTAACAAAAATCTTTTGAATGAATGAGTACCTATTCCAAACTATAAATATAATCTGATTAAGAATACATTACTTGTGGTAGTGTCATACTAAAAAAAACAAAAAAAACATGTTTGCACCAATCCTGCTACATTCAGCATGTTCTGTGGTTGAATGTTATGGGGTCAAAGGTCAGGGCAAAAACAGATAATTAGGCTATGCTAAATGTCATTATTTACATTCTTGTATCCTGTTCCAAGAACAATACGATTAAATCATGTAACAAAGTTCAGTATCCTGTCAATTACACAGCAAATCATGAGGACGTGTGTAGCACACAGATGCTGCTGTTTCCAGAGTGACTCCACACATGCTCAGAATGATCAAAGTCTCACAGATCTATCTGTCAAATGTGCTATAACAGCAGTTCTTGATAATGATGGAATGTTTTTCCACAAGCTCACTATCGAAGCCAAACATTTTTAGAAGAAAAAAAAAACAATTATATATATATATATGTGTGTGTGTGAGTGTGTATAAAAGAACAAATGATAAGACTACACTGTTTTGTCAGGTCACCTAAAAATGTGCCTCATGTGACAAAATCTAAATGAACTGGATTTATCCCAGTCAAAAACATTATATTAATATGACTGAATTAACCAATGTCGACAAAAGTCATATCTAAGGGTGAGATTGGATGGAAATAACAATTGTACAAGGTTCAGTTGTGTGACTGAGAGAAAGACATATGATATGTTAAATGAGGATGTGACTGACCTGAACCCATGTGTTTGTGAGGTTTGGTGATCAGTTTTATATGTGAACTAGCATGCGTGCGTGTGCTGACTCCCTCGATCTACCTTTGAGCTCTGCGGTGAGGGGTTGAGGTTCAGCTCCAGACACGGGCCCCCTCGCGCTCGGCCCTATAAAAGAGCCGTCTCTGGCCCTGTTCTTCAGTCTCTTCCCAGACCAGCTACAGTAACAGGTAAGCAGCCCAGCCTCGGACGGTATAGCGTCGCTCGGGATAGAGTTTCATCTGGAAACAACTGGAGAGTTATGGACCGCTAGCAGAAAAAAAGAATTTTTATCAAATTATACATGTAACAGCGATCTGTGTTCAATGTTTTGGTAGTTCATCTTTATTGTTAAAAGTACCAAAAGTAATCATTTTGTTTAGTAGACTAATGATGAGCCCTTGCTGATGAAATACGATCAGTCATTGTAGACATGTAAGCCCTCGATGGCTCCGGCCAGCTTTCTGCTCCTCAGCTGTCTGACAGAGCATCAGCTTAGACCGAAGTTCTCCAGGTCCACACCAGTGTGACCAAGCTAATCCAGGGATTTGAGATTATGCAGTGGCTGAGAGCTAATCTGCTTCAGAAGCCTTTGTAACTCTGTCTAATCTGGGATGAGTTAGAGTCTAGTCTAATAGGCTGACGCGCTGTAGGGTAAACTATCCCGAGTAATAGCTGCAGCCCCAGTGTCCACTTTCCCTTTGAGTAGAAATCTAAAACCTATGTATTTATTGTGATTAACAACGTCTGATGTGTTTGATTGTTCTTTTTGACCCAGATCATGATGAGGTTCGTAGTCCTCGCCCTCGCTGTTTTGCTGGCAGGTACATAAAGCCCTTTACTCCTCTCCACACCGTCAAAAACTCCATTTCTTAATCAGCATTTTTGTGTTGTTTTCCAGTTTAAAATGTAAACCCAGATAAATGTTGTTAAGATACTAAGTCTTGTTTTCAAAGAATACATGTACACATCTTGTTTCTAAACCTTCTAGTATTTATTCTGGTTTTAAGAGGTTCTTGCTAGTTTATGCCAGGGGGGTAAGAAATAAACTTAAAGAAATATTTTCTAATATCTCACAATTTAGCTTTTAATTTAAAATGATCAAAAGATGATTAGATATTTTACTGAGAAACCAGAGTAAAATAGTGATTAAGAAATGAAAATGATTTTTTTTTGCTACTGTATTCAGTTAGCTGTACTCAGATTAAACTGTAACTCTATAACTCTAACTGAACACATCAAGCTCGGCCCTTGCTCCAGACTCAAGCGTCTGAATCTGTGTGTGCTTTGCTCAGGCTGCCAGGCCCGATTCCTGCAGGACGAGCCGCCGTCGCAGCTGGAGCATGTTAAGTCTGCGCTCCAGGTTTACGCTGATCAGCTGAAGCAGTCGGCACACAAGGCCCTCACTCACCTCAACGACACCGAGTTCAAAGACTACAAGTAAGAAAGCGCAAAGACAGCACATACCAGTCTGGATAGAGTGGCTGTATCAGGGATCAGCAGGGGCCGCTCAAAAGCAGTTTTAGTTCTGTTATCGGAGTAGAAATGGCTTTACTTTAAAGAGTCGATTTTGATTTCATGCTTTGAGTAAGTTTAAGTAACTCTCCACATTACATCTTAAGAAGGTGCACAATGTCAACTATTCCAGTGACAGCTAACCTAAATCCTCTGTTTAGGGAATTCCTGGGCCAGTCCGTGGACAACCTCCACGGCTACTTTCAGGACGGCTTCCAAACCATCAGCCCATTCGGCACCCAGATGCTGGACGCCACTAAAGACAAGCGCGAGAAGCTGATCAAAGATGTGGAGGAGCTCCGCGAGAAGATCGAGCCCATGCACAAGGAGCTGAGGCAGGTGCTGGAGAAGCACTTCCAGGAGTACAGTGACGAGCTGAAGCCTTTCTTCGAGGAGTACTTGGCCAAGCAGCGCCAGCACATTGAGGAGATGAAGACCAAGCTGGAGCCTGTGGTCAAGAGCTTGAAGGAGAAGATCGGAACCAACTGGGAGGAGACCAAGTCCAAGCTGGTGCCCATCGTGGAGGCTGTGCGCGAGAAGGTGGCGGAGCATCTGCAGGACCTGAAGAACCTGCTGGAGCCCTACATGCAGGATTACAGGGAGCAGATGGAGAAGAGAGCACAGGACTTCCGCCAGAGCGTGAGTTCTGGAGAACTGAGGAAAAAGATGAATGAGTTGGGCACACAGGTGAAGCCTCACTTCGAGGCTATTTTTGAAGCCGTCCAAAAGGCCTTTAACAAGGAGTAAACCGACCCTTTTTTACACCATCTCACCCTCCCTTCATCCTTGGCACCTGCACCGAGTACCAACACCTGAAACATCATCATCCAGAAGGCTTTTCTCAGAGCTTAACTGCCCTTCTCTGAAGCACACACACTAACACACGCTCACAATACACACACATGCACTTTTGACAAATTCCCACAACTACAAACACAGCTACAAATAAAAGAACACTGAAACCTGTTCATTCAAAAATGCTTAGCAAAAATCCTTTGTTAAGCTGCTTTTTGTTAAAAACTGATTATCAATGTTCAATGAAATAAAATAATACAAATAAAAACTTTCATACTATTTTTTCAATGTCTAAATGTGTCTTTTTTTTAAGGGATGTTTTGTGAAATTATATGGAAACACACAAATTCATAAATACCAAGTCCTAAAAATATATATTATTTTGCACAATAAAAGAATAAATGTATAAATTAGGAAATTATAATTTTGTAGTCATGGGCAATTAAAAATACTTATCCATTTAATTCAAATGCACAACAATGGCCTTAAACTGAACAGAGTTTTAGATCTGATTAATGAGTTGATTACAAAAATGTGTCAGCAGTAATCAATAAATCCTGCTCTAGTGATCTGTTACTTATTAGTAACAGGGCAAGATGGATGTGGTGGCCATATTAATGCCCCCAAGACAGACCATGTCAACACCAGACCATAATATTTCGCTGAACATATTAATGAGAAACACAGTCGTGTGCTATTCAGGCTACGACATATTGACAAGTTAAACATGATAATCCATTTTCAGAACCATTCTCCTGTGCCTTGATTTGCATTAAAATCCAAGAATATTATCAGAAATGTTTTTTGGTAAACACACGATCATGAGGAAGAACTGTGATATTAAAGAGCCCTCATTTTTAGATTTTTCCTTCCTATGGGACAACACAAGAATGTCATAAGAAGAGCATATGATTCAGCATTGTGGAAATGCTTCATAAATGTGCACGTGCAATTATTAACAGATCCGTCTTCAGTGCTGTCAGGACCTCGGTGTTCAGTCTCTGTGAGAGAGCAATCCTGGATCAAAGGTCATTATAAGCGTTTTCCATCAGAACAATGGTGGTAAAAGTCCAATTAGCTGTTTGTTGAGTGCTGGAGATCAATCGCTGCCACAGACCGTCTGATTCTTCTGTCCGCAGTCAATAAAGCTGGCTGATGTATATGTAATTAACAAATACTTGAGTGTAATACAGAGTAAGTTTGTGGGCATCGTGGGTCATGGGCTGTGAGAGAGTGATATGGATGAGATGCAGAAATCCTGCATATTGGATCTCTCGGGTTATATAAAGGCCGGACTGATCCGTGGTGAGCCACAGACGCATGAAGTGTCAGGAAGACATTGGACCAGGATTCCTGAGTACAGTGGCAATGATGAACGGTAATATATTCAGATTTTGCTTTATTTGTACCTTCAAACAATCATCAATCAATTAGTAATTTTTACATTTAGTCATTATTTTTTAAATGAAGTTTTACATCACAATATGAAAGTCAGCTGCCGTTTTCATGTTATGCATAAACCTTTGCATAATTGTGTTAGAACAAACAATTCAAAGTGTCTTGGTCTAGATAAATATACATCTGCCCTGATATTTCTTTTGCTGTGCCTCACGTATCTGCAGTCTCCGAGTCGTCTCGGGCTGGTTCTCCAGACACCGGCTGGACCTGCAGCAAAGCTCCTGAAGTGGCCAGCGTCAGAGTTCAGCTGGAGATGCAGAGCCTGTGGCAGCAGTTTGACCAGCTGGGCACTGAGATGATTGTGACAAAAGCTGGAAGGTTTCACCAGATATCACACCTTTGCTAATACAGTCTCTTCGTAGCATTATGTTAGCAATTCCATGTGTACAGTGTCTGAAGAACGAGTGAGTGCTGACGCTGTTGTGGGGTTTTTTGTGGTTCTTGGCAGCTGTTTGGACACTGTTTGCAAAACCAAGCCAAAGAGCCTCACAAACGGTGCAGGAGTCACACACTAAACTTAGTGGTTAGGTTTAGAGAACTGAGCAATGGTAATAGTGATTATACCACTACTAAACTATTAGTATTATTATTTTTTGCATTATGATAAGCCTGTGACCTGCATATATTGACTGCTGTTGTTTGTTTTCATACAGAAGGATGTTTCCTACATTTCAAGTACACATTTCAGGCATGGACCCTGCTGCAGAATATGTTCTCCTGTTGGACTTTATTCCTGTCGATGACAAACGATACAGGTATCAGATCAGAAAAAGGGGTTCTGAACATTTTTAATGGTTTTAATTTAGGTGAAGAGCCAACAAAAGATGCTTTGTTTAAATGGTTTGGTCACACTTTATTTTAAGGACCAATTCTCACTATTAACTAAGAGTTTTCCCTCAATAAACTCCTAATTTTTGCTAACATGAATAGTTAGTAAGGTAGTTGTTAAGTTTAGGTATGGTGTCTGTGGATTAAGGATGTAGAATATGGTCATTCAGAATGAGACATTATTATAGTGCTTTAAAAGTACTAATAAACAGCCAATGTGCTAGTAATATGCTTGATAATAAGCAACTCATTAATAGTGAGAATTGGTCCCTAAACTAAAGTGTTACCAATATTTTTTTTGCCTAGACACTAAAAACAATCTATTCTGATGCCACAACAGGACACTAAAAACAATTCAAACTCAGATCTTACAGCACAATCAAGAAACGTATTTCTTCATGCTTTAAGACCCCCTAATATCACAGTTGTGGATTTTAACAACATTATTTGCTATCATTGACAAACACGATTACATTATGCTAAACTAGTGTTGATGTAGTTTCACAGTTAACTACTCTTGTCTGCCTTTACTGTATCCTGAATTAAATGTCTTGTATTGCCCAATCAATGTAGTGATGTACGTTTAACGTGATGATGTACACTCTATAAAAGCAACAGAATTGAGTTTTTAATATAATTATAGAATATAATTAGAATATTTGTAATTTTAGTGCACAGACCTCCTGCATTCCATGAACCACAGCTGAAGGACCTGCTCCTTTCTTGATTTGAGAGCAGGCATGTTTTGGACGTTCTTGATGTTCCTGTGTGCAGGTACGCTTTCCACAGCTCCTCCTGGCTGGTAGCTGGACGCGGAGATATAGCCGTCCCGGGACGAGTGCACTTCCATCCGGACTCTCCCGCTCGAGGAGCGCAGTGGATCAAACAGACCGTCTCATTCGACCGCCTCAAACTCACCAACAACTTGCTGGACGATAACG